GTTCAATCTTAGCCAGGATTCTTGGCTTCCGGTAACGGATTATCCCAGAGCCTTCGATTCCTTCCCGAGGATCGCAGGCTCGGGGAACGAGATTGGCCTTGAACGTGTATATATTTCATCAGAATGTACTTCTAAGCATTTTGGCTACCAACCTCGCAAGCCAGGCTCTCTACTTCCACTCCTCCAACGCGTATTCTTCTTGCGGATAGTGGAGCCTGGAGAGGAGTTCAAAAGATGGAGTTGACTGTACGTCGTCAAAATAAATGTTGTGGAACTATTGATACAATCCCACACACCCAACATTTCCCAATGTTGGTTCAGATATGACATGAAGAAAACCCAATATTGAAAGAGGCCTGGAGTGTTGAAATTTGCTTTTTTACTCACATCTTAAACGCTGGGTTGGGACTTCTATCTTGGGTAGCAAAATACGCGTTCCTGTAGTCAACCTCGTCCCCAGGCTCTTCCCTCTTGTAGAGGTAGTCGGTCCAGTGTGGATTATAACAATTTCGCTTGGGTCTGACAAATGTCCGATCAACTGTGTAGTTGCTCGGACATTGGCTAATAATGATCGGCCAGCCTTTCAAAATTTACATTCAATTGACGAGGTATCAATTTGATAGCTCGTGCTGATCACTTCTCGTTTGATGAATCACATTTCTTAATTTTTGGCAAGCAGCCCAACGATCCATTGTATATTGTGTTTTCGGGAATTTTCTGCATGTCTAGTAGCCCGCGTGCAGGCCCAAGGGAAGCTCCCTTGGGCCTGCACGCGGGCTACATGTCTAGTACCATAAACTTGTGACGTGATTTTGTTGCTTGTCACAGCAAAGCCAAGATAATATTTTGTGTTCCTTCTCTCGCTTTTATCTTTATGAACAGTACCGTACTAGTCTAATAGTATACTGTACCTTTCATTTAAATGAAAACTGCCTATTTTATTTGCCCGGTCAAAATGTCCGTGCAGAATAAGATTAATCGGCCATTTAGTGTTTTTGTTCGGCAAATAGCCGATTGCCGACCGCGTTATAATACACACTGCCGACAGTCGGTCTAATGGAGAAGATGCAGGACTGACAAAATTTACGCGGTCCTTGCATAAAATAAAATAAACCTTAGTAAATGGTTAAATACTACGTACATTAGCTGATTTCGCATTCAACTGGCTTGAGCTAAATTAGCTAGAAACTTTAGGCTATCTTGGCGTACGTTTATACGCATATTGCAGTTGTTATAGCTTGAGCTTCGCTACTGCAGCAAAGCTACAGTACATCCTTTACCTTGTAGAGGATAGATAGCCTGATGCGGTGAAGCGGCATAACATTACATATTATATATAATTACACATCTCTGACAATATTACATTCATAGTTAATGCTGTAACACTATATATAAATACTATTTGTCTGTTTGTGGGACAAGCACCCCACTTGTTTTCTCTTCTTTTTGCTTATCAGTGTGTTGTTTTTCTCCCTGAGATCTGATATTGTGTTGTTCTTTAAAGGAATTTAGCTCTTCGGATTTAGCTTGTAACTGACTCTTTAAGTTTCCTATGAGAATTTTGATCTGTAAAATAATGAACAACTTTTTAAAGGAAAAAACTAACACTTGCATTTCATCTGGTGAACATTAGCTAAAATGACAATTTCATGTGTTAATTTTTTATGACACAAATTGCATGGGAAACCTATTTATTGCCTTTGTTTTAAGAAAATACCCCGATGACGGGAGCGACCTTTAATTTCTACCTATGTTAAATTTATTCAGTCACAACTCAAGTGCAAACATTCACTATACTACTATCCAGATTGAAAACTATGGACTTAATTGGACACAATACACACATATACAATACATATAATTTTCTTTTCCTCGGGGAAATGTAGAACGTGTGGATATACGTGATTTTATTACCATTGGTGTAGTGCACACAATATTGTAAGAATACACTGGGTCTCCAGCTCACATACAATCTTTCTAGTAAAATGGTTTATGCCAGCAATGGAAGAACCTTTGTTGCCGGTTTTTGAGCACACGGTATATATACATACAGTGTACATGCACCTGCAGTCTCAACTACTCTGAGTAGTCAACTACAGTGCAGTATATTGCCAGAGTTTATTCCTCAAGTCAATGATATGGGTTTGAAGATATATATTGAGCAGGTAAGAGAGACATACTGTACGAAACAATACTAAACAGTCAAAATTGTTTATTATTTCTACGTTTCGACTAGAGTGTAGTCATCATCACGAATGCTATCCATTCCTAATGATGACCACACTCTAGTTGAAATGTAGAAATAAACTATGATTTACTATTATAATTGCTTTGTATTTTGTAAAAAGACAGACATGTACTGTAACCCTATCAAAGACTTAATTGACTATGATTTACTATTATAATTGCTTTGTATTTTGTAAAAAGACAGACATGTAACCCTATCAAAGACTTAATTGAGGATAAATTGGAGGATAATTCACATGCAATACACGCCACAAGATTTACCTGATCTCTGTTACTAGTTAATGCTGGTAGTACATCTTTTACAGTTCTCTCAACCAACACTCCTCCAACCAAACGAAAACATTTCCTTTCTGGAGCAATGTCTTTTAAATTCTCTATTACCATACTACATTGAAAGTTAGATAGAATTGAAAATAATTATTTTATATTATGACACAATGCCAATGGATGCACGTATAAAAAAACGGAGTCCCCTGAACAAAATGTAAATTTCAAAAAGAATAATAAGACAAACGATTTATACATTTCACTGGAATATAGACTAGATAACAATATTAAATCTCCCATTCAATTCACAAAATTGATGAAAAACTATTTGTTTAATAGATTATTTTAACAACAGTAATCAATATTTTATGTGTACATATGTTTCACAGTATTTTATAGATTTTAATACATTAGACAAATTAGATTTTATTTCTTCCTTTAAAATTGTAATGGGCATTGAAAAGCCCAATTGGAATTGCTCAATAAGGTATGTGTGTATGTATTTTGAAGCTTAGTCATACAGCATTTAAACAGTACTTAGGCTATACTGCTCAGATGGTGTGTGAAAAATATTGTTTTGTGTGATTGAGATTGGAGAATAATACATTTGAGATATGATATCAAATATTTTGTCAAAAAATGTCAGTTTTAGTTCAAATGCTAACTTTACATGTCTTATGGAGTGGCAGTATACAGTACCTACAGTTTAAGCTTGCATCAACTTGCTTTTAGTATAGGTAATCATGCGATGGCAAGTACAATTAGGGATATTGCATGATTAACCCTTTTTACGCGCGGTGCGACGAGGGGCTCCGGCCAAATCCATATTCGGAACTGGCATCTAATTGGCTAGTTCTAACACCGGACATTGTTTTCTTACCATGTTTTTATGGTATCCGGTTATGGATTTGGCCAGAGCCCCTCGTCGCACCGCGCGTAAGAAGGGCTCTGGGTACGAGAATGTGTCAATATCATATTCTCTCGCCAAAGCCCAGTCCTATCAGACTTTCAACCAAAATTTGGTGCTTTTGTTTGTATTTTCATTTAATTCTTTTGTTCAAGCAAAACTTGGTGCTTTTCTTCGTATTTTCATCTAGTTCCTCCACAGCAATTTCATTTCACATTTGTGTTTAAAATACCTTTCTGCAATTTTGTTTGTTTTGGGAAAATCATTAATTGTACTGCAGGACAATCAATGAAATAATTGTACTCCTCTCAACCAATCAGCATCCAGTAATTTTGTCATGCTAATAATAAAGCTGGTTACAGACGAGCAAGTTTTCTACAACAAGTTTTCATACAATACAAACTTTATTTGCTTGTCTGTATAGGCAACTTTGCCAATTTTTACTATGACAAGTACACTTGTTCAAAAGCTAGTCTCACTGGTAGCTAGTTTTTGAACAAGTGCACTTCTCAAAGAAAAAAATTGGCAAAGCAATTTGAGCAGTGAGCACTTGCATGTGGTTTGTCAGCAATCTATTGTTGTAATAGCTAATAATAGCTAGAAACCAAGTCATAGAAAATAAAACTCGCCATGTGAAAACTTGTCATAGAAAACTTGCTTGTCTTTAACCAGCTTTAAGAAAATTCCACAATTTCAAACACGATTATACTACTGTACTTTCTATTCATCTTCAGCAGAACTGATTTGAAATATACCATTTTTAAAATAGATGTGTTTTTAATTAATTAAAATGCATACTTTTTTAGGGTGACTAGGTTCTTAGTTCTTACATATATTTGATCATGTTAAGCACTCTATAATAATCTCTGCACTCTATGAAAATCAGGTACAAGTACACTTATACAAATAGTAATTATAACCTTTTCCAAGTCTTAGGCTAAATTGAGGCCCTGTCAGGGTGGGTTAGGTATGACTTAGATTATTGCACTTCACTTGGTGGAATTAATATTAGGATGTTAAGGTTTGTAATCCAAGTGAGAATATATACATTTTAAGACCTAACCAGGAACGACTGCGAAAAATGCAGCACAAGGTCCTCTGGTAGGAATTGAACCTACGGCTCTGCCATTTCGGTGCAGCGCTCTAACCAACTGAGCTACAGAGGCCAGCTGTTGAGCTTTAACCGTAAGTTCATGTATATTTAGGTAATCGGGTGTGCGGCCGATTACCTATATATACATGAACTTACGGTTACAGCTCAACAGCTGGCCTCTGTAGCTCAGTTGGTTAGAGCGCTGCACCAGAATCGCAGGGCCGTAGGTTCAATTCCTACCAGAGGACCTTGTGCTGCATTTTTCGCAGTCGTTCCTGGTTAGGTCTTAAAATGTATATATTCTCACTTGGATTACAAACCCTAACATCCTGGGTTAGGTATGCATCTGATTTTCAAAACAAGTAATGTTGTTACTTGAAACATTTACTATATTGTCCCGTACATGGAATTTTGTTATTGTTTTCCTCCTTTTCTATGTTGCTGTTGCAAATATTTAGACAGAGTTTGTGTCCAATGTCGCTATTTCATTTTCTATTTGTCGTCTGATTGCAAAGCAATGTTGCATGTCAGAATTTACTCAAAGGCCCATGTAAATAGTAATTGTATATATGACTAGTTGTATATGATATGACTAGGGCTGCAAATAAATATTTGACTTGACAGGACATTTGTCCGATCACTTTTAATTTTGGTCGGACATAACTTGAATTTGGTCGGACAAAAACCAACACCACTAAATTTGGTTGGACATATATATACGTCATATATATATATAAGTCACGAGACAAGTATGTATAGCCATTCCAGCGCAATGTTACTGTAAATAAAATGGTGGAATACCTTGTAAATTTTTTTGCAAAATGCAAATTGTTGAATTTGCAATCGGATTTTGTCACAGCAAAAAATGTGTAATGTGACAATTTTTTTGTGATCGGACCGATGTCCAATCAAAATTACTTTTGCTCGGACATTTGCCAAATTTAGTCGGACATTGTCCGATAGCAATTTGCAGCCCTGTATGACTATAGTTGTATACGATTGTTATTCTGGTGTATGGAAACAACTGGTAACGCCACTATTTCTGTTCATGGTGAAATTTGAAGAGTGACATCTTTAGATGTTTTTATTCAAGTACATATGCCAGGATAAGAATCGTATACAACTAGTCGTATTTGACGTTTGGCATGGCAACATGAATATGGACATGGCCCGTTTTTAGAATTATTTAATATTGACAGTGGCTGGCCAGCATGCAGTACTCCAGTCTCATACATCGTTTGCGACAATGTCATGGGATTGCGCACAAGCTACGTAGTGGCAAGTAGAATGTTAAAGAGTAGTGATATTTATAATTATAAAACTCTAAAGTCACATTAGTGATTAGTCCCTCCTGTCAAAACTCTAAAGTATTTTTAGGTAATACCTGTGTTCAGACTGATCCATTTCCAACTCATTTATTTTAGCAAGAAGATTCCTTTGTTCTTGTCGAAGTTGATTAAATTTAACAATTGTTTGTTCTTGTGTCAAACTTCCCTTATTTCCTTTAATATTTTTCTTGCCGTTGGTCGCCATCTTTTTTCTCGTGTTCTTTCTACTAGTTTCCAGTCTTTTGAGTTTCGAACGGACATACAAGAATAATAGAATTAGTATATTTTCCTAGTAAATTTTACATTTTATATATGAAACTGCATAGATTTACGGGGGGGCAGCTGACCCCCTCCCCCGTCATCAAAACAGCGAAATCATTCACAGGTACATTCCGATTCAAAGACTCGAATACGTCGTATATATGCGTATGGGAGATTGTGAGCTTCAAAAGTCGGACAGTTTCAGCTAGGAATTTTACGGCTATGTGAACCTGTGTAGTTATTTTAAAAGTCTCTTACCTCACTCGCGTCGTACTAAACGAGGAATAAAATTTAATTTGCTGTTTTATAATGAGCGCAGATTGGCGTAGAGTATCCCACTTTAAAACATCGATATGTACTTTATCATTGAAACTAATAGTTTTTAATTTTTTCCCCATTACGTATCCGGACAAGGCGGTAAAGGCGTACGAGGCTCCGATTATATATTGGCATGTAGCCTTGGCACAAATTGCGCGAAAGGCTAGGATTGCTTCTTTTCGCGAGGACAAATTCGCCCAGCTGGTGCATCTCCAACTTTAAATGGCCGCATTTTACTCAGCCAGCAGAATGTCAGAACAAACGAAAACCAAGGCCATGCTCATGAATTTAACAATATTTAATATTATTTAATTGTACCAAATTTCGTACATTTTGTAAGAAATCGTTTTACAAAGTAGTTACTATTTCTGAAGTAGTTGTTAAACTAATTTACATTCAATAAATACTATACATAATTTGCGTTGTTATGACCATTCTTAATTTTACGAATTCATAAATCTACTGAATAAGTTATCAAAACATCCATTTGTTTGGGCATTCACTCTGTCAACTGTTCTAGAATCCCATCGATATTTCTATAAATTGAAGGGATGTAAGATATCGTAAAACTGTTAAAATTGTAAACTACTGTATTTCCTCTATTAGCCTCCTTTTACACCCCCCCAATTAGCCCCATGCAGTCTAGAGGCGCTGAAACAAAATAAGCCCCACTCGCTATTAATTAAATCCCATCCTCCTTTAATTAATTAAATCATTCTCAATATAAACTGATAGCGAAATATGAACATGCAATGTAAACGTTCTTTGTAACGTTCATTCATAATGCTATAACGTTCACTGATATGGCTAAGTAATGTTAAATGGGACAGAAGTGTTTGCTCGAGTATTTTTGCTTTAGATTCAGCAGGTTCGTTTTCAGTTTAAAACCCAATCTATTCTCTGATTCGAAAACCGAAAGTCTATATAATTTTCTTTCCCTAGTTTTTACAACAATTCAACATATTTCGTACGGGGATGCGTATTTCAGAGAAGCATTTTTAATTAAACAAATAAAAAGTACATGTGTTCATAAGCAAATTATCCTACAATTCAAAAACTAATTGTAGCCCAAACTGAAGTCAATACCTTAAATGTTCTCTATAAAAATCAGCTTGTTGACGTAGTCTTATCAATATGTCATCATCAGGAAACAGGATCGCGTCAGTCGTTTCTATAGTGGGGAATGTATATTGTGAAGTTCGGGCCAGGAGCAGGCGAAGCCCGTGCATGCAGGGAGCTTATATTTGCCTACGATACAGAATGATATCATATTGTGCAATGAATCAGTACATACTAGTCTAATACTTAGTGTCTGTCTCGCAGGCTAGGATACCTTATCTGTTCAACAAACTGAATATTACGAACGAAATCCATATACACATCCTGCATTTACAAGCATTACCGCAGAATCACGAAAGTATAGTGTACGAAAGTAACGGCAAAATTGAGATGTTTAAAAAGGCCACCCGTAAGCGGCTACCCGTAAGCAGCAACCCTTCGTAACTGTTTAAGATGAACAAACCCCTGGAGAAATATGGCTGTTTTATTATTAATTTATCATTATACAAAACTCCAGTTTTTTTGCTTCACTTTAGATAGCCCGTGGTTACACTTTGACAACATTTGATTAAAACAGTCAGTAAAAGGTAGAAATGGCATAAAGAAAAAAATAGAGCAAATTCAATGTGGAAGAATGTTCCACATATGTTGACATATTTTACCACCCGTACATAGCGCCCCTCCCCCACCCTCCATTATGGGCTTGCTACTTTTGGGTTTCTACGGTACATCTCTACCCGGACAGAACAGTTAGAATATAAAACTAAATTTCTGTAATTGGCCAACAACTCCAATCATCCTTGGCTACCACCACATTAATATAATCTACAGGCATGTTCTGGCGCATCAGTCTATAATTTGTAAAATGGTTATGGCTGCACACGGACCTGCGCTTCACTTTTATAGCGTGCTATATACAGTATCGTGCTCACAGGAGTTTTGGTAATCTCGTTAATAGAAATATTAATTAGTGGTTGAAGTGACTCGGCAAAATTTGCCTTGATAACTCGGCAAAATTCACTTACACCCCTCCCCCATTCAAAGAGGTCTAGCGCCGCCCCTGCCTCTATATATCTTCGTGCGCTGAACATTATGCATGAAATATGCAATCCGTTATGCATGGATGTGTATATCAATTCATATTGTATGCTTCAACTTACTTTTCTTAGGTTCCTGTTCAACATAACTTTCACATTCTTTGGAAGTTGATACCATATTATTTTTATCTTTGACATCCTCGCATTCAGTATACACACTACTGCTACTTAGACTGCTACGACGAGAATCACACATGGATGAAAAAAGACGTTCAGAGATTACCTGAAACAACACAATGTTCAATTTGCGAAAATATTTACGATAATAAAGAGGTTTACTTAAATGACTTTATTTATAGAGTTAAACCACAGGTAAACTCGTATTCACAAACGAAGAGTCTAATCACTCGGAACGTCGAAGTATATTTTTCAGATATAGTTAGATCATTCAACCAAAGCAGTGAATATTGTTCATCGTTACCTACACTGGAACCCCACACTCAAGATACAGTAAAAAACTGCATAAAAGAACCACTATTCTTCAGCCTGAAGTGGTTCTTATATATAATGGGCACCTGAGAAATCAGGCCGAATTGGTTCTTAACTGCATGATTCTTATTTCTAGTCAAAAACAATTGTTCCTGGCTGGGTATTTTGAATGAATTGTTTTTACATTAGTGAGTTGTTGACAGTATATTACACAGAAATAATTTCTATTTAAAAGCCTTGATAAAACGTATCCTTTGAGTATAGACAACAGATTATGTTTTTTTGCATTTGTAATAGTATTAATTAAATTAATTAAGTATCAATCTGCTTATATATACCTGCTTACTTTTACCTATCACGTTTGTGGTTCTCAATCCACTGGTGTTTTTATGCGGGTTTGACTGTACAGTTCAAACCACCAACTAAATAACTGGTAACGACTTAAGTCAACGCTGCCATGCAATGTGTCTTTACATATATACGCTGTTTATAAATCTATCAGCGAAGAGCATGCATGCATGGTGTGTGTTAGCCTACATGCAGTGTATGTCATAGAGTCTATGTTAGCCTACGTCATAGAGGCTAAAGTCTATGACCCAGGCTAGGCGTGTGTGTGCATGTGTTTATAACACGCTAGTAATTAGTTTATTGGGATGTTTAGCCTTTAGGGATTGTATAGTTCTGTTTTGAATTTTAACGCTTATATTTACATACTAAAATATGAAGGAAATCAACAGTATAGTATCAACATTGCAGGGAACAACACATACCTGCCCAATTACCGTTCCAATGACTCCTTCATTTTGCGTATTTGTTAGCTGATCTCCAGAACCATCCCTGTCTGTTCTTTGATGTGCATGGCGTGAAACTAGTGGAGCAGATGTATTAACCAGATTAGTTTGATCATTGCCTTTTCTTAAGCTTGGTTTGGGTTTACTTTCATTTTCTTCTGCTGTCTTCGTAAACTTATCTGTATCTAGGTCTTCCACTGTTTCTCTTGACACAGAATTGTCAGTATCTACCTTAACGTGTTCTCCATAATGTAATTTACTGCGGTCATTTTTATCGCTTTCCAAGGCGCTTGCTGTTTGGCGTACACTATCTGATTCAGCCGTTTCTAAATTGGTCATAAGCGGTTGTTTTCTGTTAGGAATAATTTTCTGTTTACCATAAGAATTTTTATTGTTGGTGGTGTCATATTCTTTTCTTTCTTTTTCTGTGTCAGTTAATCCTGGATTACAAGATGTATTAGTCAATCCATGAATCCTTGGACCTTCAGCAACATCACCAACACGAATACTTGATCTTTCTCGGAAACCATCCTGATACTGAATATCAGCTGAATCAAATTCTGTGCGAGCTTTCTGACCACGTTCAATGTGGTGCAAGTCTGAAGCACTCGGAGAGTGGTTTGTCCTCCCGACATCACGACTTTCTGCATGTATTTGTTTAGAACAAGGCACAATATCACACATCATGTGAACATGTGATGGTAATTTTTGCTCATCAATAAAACATACAGCTGGTACATTACTCTCTAAGGCAACAGCAAGTTTCTTCCTTTCCCTACATTTAACATTCTCTCTTTCAGGCATACCAGACACATCACCCTTGTCCCTCCAAGATTGATCATCAGTTGCATGATACATAATTTTGTCCTCATGCACAGTTCTGCCAGACATTTTTGAAACATGTCTGAAAGATGTATTTCCACTGGGTTCAAAATCATCCCTTCTGTTTCCGCTATCCATGTGATATCTGGGATGATCTTGTTCAGGCAAATACGCATTATATCGACCGCGAGTCAAAGCTGCAGTGCGATAACTTGCAGTATTTCCAAAACGCTTTCCTTGACTACCTTTAGTTTCCTCTTGAGCCTTTTCCAGTCGTCTGGCAAGTCTCCACTGATAAAGAATATCATCTTCAGGAGCACGACGTGGTTTGGTGACAGGGTTTTTAGCAGCATCATCCAATCGTTTTTGCTTTTCTATCATCCAGGATGACGGAGGTTTAGGTATAGATTCAGAAGAAACTTCACTCAATGTATTTTCACTATAAAAGAAAAATGTTGACTGGACATCATGTGCGGTACTGAGCAGCAGAATTATGCACGTGTATTAAAATCAGACCCGCTCAAATGAGGTTGGGGCGACGGAGGAGAGATTTACTTCCGACTAGCCCCCCCCCCCTTGCCACCACCAGTTGAATAAATAATGAGTAAGAAATGCATTGACATAATTGTAAAATCATTTATTACTTAAAATAATTCATGATTTCTGATTGGCAAACTGCAGTCAGCTACGAAATATCGTCATATCAACTCAATAGCTTACCAAATATGGAGTTTTGACATAATATTCAACGGAGTGACGCCATAACGTTGGTATGAAAAAATAATATTAAATGCTATGACATAATGGCAAGGACGACTGCCCAACGAGTGGGGAATTGTGTCACAACACAAGTGGCACTTCCTTTTTCTTTTAAGGGGTTTATATAAAAAATACCACCAACCTCTTTTCCAGAAGTTCGTTAGTCCTTGCTAGAAGGTCGGATGTACTAGAATCCCTGGCTGCAACAGCTTCTCTCACAGGACGGGAAAACTGATTACGTTTGAACCCATATTTCTAGAATGTAGTAAAATATTAGAAACAATGTACGATAGACGATTTATTCTGTGGTTTATTAGTCGTTTACGTCAAGTCAAAGCGCGTTTCCCACTAAGCGAATTATTTGTTCGCGCAAAGCGAAAAACGAATTTTGCTAATATGAGCCGAAAGCAAAAAGTTGCTAAAAAGTTGCCGAGGATAATCGGTCAAGGCCTATTGCTGAAATTTGCTTTCCGCTTTGCTTCGCACGAACAAATCAGAGCGGACCATTACAAAGACGGGAAACATGTTTCAAGACCATTAGAAAGTTCTGGTTGCACGAATGTTTTTCGCGGCTGTCTGCATGTGCTAATAATCCGTCCCTACTTTACCCTAGTTTACGTCCGTTTTCTAATTTCTGTCAAAACCACTATTTACGCTCAACTTCGGCTGTATTTAGCCTTTTTCGGATTAAAATTTCCGACAAATCATCTATTTTCCGTTATTGCCCCCCCCCCCCACGCCATCACACCAAAATTTCCACCACTGTAACATAAGTGCAAAAGATCGAAAGATGACATTAATTCAATAATAAAATTAAAATTCAATAAATTTCAACTGGCGCCCATGCCTCAAAATTTTGGCCACAAGTGATTTTTACAGAATAATGAACTATGGTGCCGTCACAGAATAATGAACTATGGTGTCGTTCTTAAAACCTTTGTTGTGTATATCGGCCTTTTACTCACAACTCACTAGACAAGAACTCGTCATATTTGGATTTTATATCAAAATTGTCTCGTTTTACTCCTCAGCTTGGTTTACAGAAAGTCAAGCATAGTAATAGGCATTGATTGTAATTGCATTATACCTGACGTGGAGGTGATGTCGAAGTTGCATTTCGTCTTATTTTTGAAGAGCCGTCACTGGTAAATTTAGATGTTGTTGAATCAGAGGTTTCTTTAGGAGTTGAAGTATTGCTTGGCGGAGACAGCCACCAGAAATCTTTACCAGATGACGCAAGCGAACGATCCTCACGACTCGTTGGAACACCATGACGAAATCTGTCAATGTACCTGAAATGTACAAGAAAATAAAAATTATAACAAAAATAGTAAATCCTTCAGGAAAGTAGACTGTTGTATGAACATAGCCTCTTTTCAGGCTCCCATACAGTCTAAAACTTTTATCACTATAAATTCTAAAATAATATATTAATGCCCTGAGTGCATGAGAATGTTTTAAATGCTGTCACATACTTGGACAAGGTAGGACGCGATAACCTATCTTCGTGAAGATCTTTACTAGCTGTTTTTACAGAGTGGTTTTCTTTCTCTATTTCAGCTGGTGTACTTGAGGATGATGGAGTATTTTGTGATAAACTAGATACATTTTTATCAGTACTTGGCCAAGATTCATTAAACTGAGAACCAGATGATAGGTCATGCTGCACTGTACCATCTTCTCGAGTGGGAATCTCAAGTTTGTTGGATTCACGTAAAAACTTTGCATCTGCTTTCGATGTCTGTCTTTGATGATCACTTTCTTTATTTGGGCTAAAACATGTCTAATAACAAAAGGATTGTATAAGAGGTTATTCTACGATCCAAGTTAGCGTCATCAATTTCGATAAGTGTATAGAGCTTTGGCAAAAGTGGATCAAAACACTGTAACACGAGACCAATAACTGTCGAATAAAGTGGAAATTTCGTTATATTTGAGCATAATAATTTAAATTCTGGGGTCCATTTTAGCTCGATACAGCCAAGATGAAAAATTGATAACGCTAACTCGGATCAGATAATATTTACCATACACTCGACTGAACAAAGCTTAACAAATACACTAGACAATACAGTGCGTACGCGTTTTTGACGGGCTTCAAAGTGCGTTTTGTCCGACCGTTATTTCAGGCTCTGCATTTGGGTGAATCTATTGCAAGATCCTGTTCAGAATCTTCAACTCATTAGTTTTCCACCAGGGATACTAGCTTATGACAGAAAATGACTGGGTCCTGCACATGATATGGAAATGCTTTTCAGCACTTTGTGATTGAAATTGTAGTGCTTAGCCTTACTGCCTCACTTACTGTATATATTACCTTCTTTTGACTGGAAGAAAGATGCCTCTCCAGTGATGGAAAATAATATGCTTTTGGCAATGACTCTTCTTCAAAAGGATTACCTCTAAAGAAAAGTACCTGGTGAATAAAATCTTCCTACTAGGCATACATTGTTCAACAGCCTGGCTTGTATACAGCCTGTGAATTTAGCTGCAGTGACAGTAGTTTTCATCGATTAATATGCATGCCATCAAACCGGTCATGCTAAAATCTAGTTACAAGGTAGAGGTTGGATAGTTTTCAGAAGCCCAAAAGAACAGGGGGAGGTTATATAATCTAACAACTGCCATTAGGGAAAGGGGGGGGGGGGTACTTTCAAGGCAAGGGTACAAATGAATTTTGATTGACCTTAAGTACTCTCAAGGTGAGAATCTTAAGTACTCCACATGGAAAAATTTTGGTTTTTGCCCTAATGTACAGCTTTAGATACCGAAAAAGCATGTGGTGGATGAATTTTAGTGAAATATTTATAATTTCCAAGATATACAGTAGGTCTTTTTTTTCTGCGTTGGTGTAATGTACTCAGGTGAATAAGATGCTTGTTATGTTACTCTGTGTGTATATCCACACCAGACAAGCTTGAAAATTATGCCGGGCCACGGTGGGAATCGAACCTACGGCCTTTGGAATACTAGCCCAATGCTCTGCCAACTGAGCTACGCGGTCAGGTCGGTTCGAGTATGCGATATTTCGGAACAGAATCTAGTTCCTTCGATATCAATGTATTAAAAATCTAGTAATATGATTTTTTCTGTGTTGCATGGTGTTATGTACTCAGGTGAATATGATGTTTGTGTGATGTTACTCTGAGTGTATATCCACACCGGACAAGCTTGAAAAATATGCCTGGCTACGGTGGAATCGAACCTACGACCTTTGGAATACTAACCCAATGCTCTGCCAACTGAGTTACGCGGTCAGGTCGGTTCGAGTATGTGATATTTCGGAACAGAATCTAGTTCCTTCGATATCAATGTAATCTAATAATCATGATTTTTTCTGTGTTGGTGTAATGTACTCAGGTGAATATGATGCTTGTGATGTTACTCTGAGTACGACACAAGCATCATATTTACCTGAGTACATTCCATTCCACGTCCGGTGAAAGAGTCATTCCATTATTGTGTTTATATTCCGAGCTGAAATCGAGAAAAACAACTTTGTAATAAAGCAATAAAGTCACACAAGAAGCCATTTTGAAAGCGTGCATGTGCGTACAAGAAACACTGCAACACTATTAGTGAACAGGCCGAAAACAGTTTTATTTCTGAAATTTAATTGAACTGATATTCGGAATTCGGATATTTTGTTTTATTCATTAAAAATTTATACTAAAACAATTACTCGCCTCAGGCTCAGTGATTACGGTGAATATTCACCTCGACTTCGTCTCGGTGAATATTCACCGGTAATCACTTCGCCTTCGGCGAATAATTGTTAAATAACCAATATCAATACTCCCAAAAAGCTTGGGACAATTTCATAGACTACCATAAACTTATTGATTTCATTAATTTCTGTCCACTTCCATATCTTTCAACTTAACAGTACTGAAGCAAGACATTTCTTGCAAACAGATTAAAAAATATTTTATGAATCCTTTGGCTTTGTGACACATATTTTGCTACATCTATTTTTGGCTAAATCCTAATACAGTTATAAAGCGAGCTCTGGGTGCATGGAAGCGGACAAACGTCTGTGAGAATGAGTTTCTGAAAAAATACCCAAAAGTAACGCTGAAACGCTCTGAGTCTCACAAATATACAGTTAACATTCTTTTTTGTATATACAAAGCGAACTTTCCCGTAGTCGTCTCCCAGTTCTCATGCGAAAATTTCTGCCTGTGAATGTGAGCTATAAGGGGCCGTCGACAAATAGATTTTTTGTCCACCGATCGTGGACTTGTTCCAGGAGGGGGTCAGCTCAACCTCGGAAGCCAGGGTCTTTTACTTCCGCACGGTGGGTAAAAGACCCTGGCTTGCGAGGTTGGGGTCAGCTTTGAATCTGCTATGAAAAACAAAAAGGAAAACAAAATTTGAATTAGTGTGACACTGTGTGTGACACTGTATCCATAAACCCAGCAATTGAGTTTGTTTGACATAATGATTAATTATCCAAACATTTATGCTGGAGTATTTGATTTCAGTCATTGAACATTTGTTGTTGACACATGCATTAGACACACCGCTTTTTGTCACACAATTAAAGATATTTATTTAAACCATTGAGTGGCAGCACTTCCCCCTGACAAGTAAAATCATCTGGCGTTAGACAGAGTAAAATAATCTGGCATTAGACAGAGTAAAATAATAAAGTAGGGTGCATCTGGGTACATTGTAAGTGGTACAAGGTTAACAGGGTGCATAAGCAGATACTAGATAGTCTTATTAATCCATTGAGTGGCAGCACTCACCCCCTGACAAGTAAAATCGTCTGGCGTTAGAGAGAGTAAAATAACAAAGTAGGGCGCATCTGGGCACATTGCCACTTAAAGGGTTAATTTCTGTTTAGGTTTTTACAAATAGCCCTTAGTATATACACAAACACTATACATTTATTAAAATAGTTTGTTTAATATATTCATTGTCAAAACAACGTTCTAATATCGTAGAGTGCAGATCGATGCCCAAAATCCTGATATTTTATACTTTCCCATGTTGGTCCACGATGGAGGAGGGGGCAGAACACCATCACAAAACAAGCCCGCGATCGGTGGACAAAATCTATTTGTCGATGGCTCCTAAACAGTGTTGTCACTTGTCAGTGTACTTTAAAAAAACTATACTTGAAAATTATCTTGAGGCAGAGGGTTTTGCAAAATATGTCATACTAACATCTTTTTGGCAGAAACATATATTTAACCCTTGCCTTAGGGAGAGCTGAAATTCTGGAAAGGCTTACAATTCCAAACTACCGACTACGCTATTAAGGGGCCACATCCCTGTTCATGTTGGTACTAGGTATAGGTTTTTATGTGAACTTGTCAACATTATCTCGTGGCAATTTGACAATTGATGTCTAAAGTAACTATCACAGTACAACTATTGTATTATAAATACTCACATATATAGAATTATGGAAATACAAATAAAAAATATTTTAAAACATTGTATTTTAAAGACTCTTACCGAATACGGTAATTATATCAAAATACAATCCCAATTTATATATGAAAACGTATGATATCTTAAAGCCTAATTCCACGACGAGCGAAATGGGTCGTTCCAGAAAAGATCCATACCCCCCCCCCCACGGAGGAAATTTTTGCTGTCGGAAGGGGGAGGGAGGAAAAATGTCTTAGGATGTCCGAAGGGGGGGAGAGGAAAAATGTCTTAGGATGTCCGAAGGGGGGGAGAGGAATGTGGATATGTTTGTCTGAAGGTTTGAGACTGTGATAAAGCTATGTGATCGGCGATTATAATGAGCACGCAATTTTTATCAGCTATATGTAGCTCTTGAACACCGGAACGTTTATGTAACAGCAATAATTATACGTCCACGTAACTCGTAAGCAAAATAAGCGGCCCACTTTTGCATGCATGGCCACCAAAAACTAACTCGCTGTAACAGCGTATCCTGCATGTTGAGAATGAGTCGAAAATTGACACGCTTTATTTAATATATAGTTTGCAGTTTTCGTTCGTATATATATAAGTTTGAATTATTCAAGTGTTAAAAACAATAGTTATTAAACTGTTGCTCGAATTAAGAGACTGTTATGTGAATTGAACTCAAAACAATTTGTTTTAGTATATAGTCAATAAAGCTTCCTTGCGAGGTGCGTGTCTAGAAAATAGAAATGGCTTTCATATTAAGGGCGAGGTTAAGGAATGCAGTAATACTAAAAAATGCATTAGGGACGGACCATTTGATTTTTGATGGGGGGGGGGGTAGATTTTCAGTTTGCTCGATATTTTTTTTCCGCCTCCTGACACTGTTCGATTTTTTTTTGTCAGTCAGAGGACTTGCACGATATTTTTTTGTGTGCATGTATATACATTTTTTAGTTTTTTGTTTTTACATTTTTTGGTATATAATAGGTATTAAATTGGACAAGTACTGGTGTAAGACATTGTGTAGCCTAAATAATGAGGGGACCAGTATTCAAAAAATGGTTGTTCTTCATTTCTTTACTCCGACTCCTATGATGAACATGTACGTAAAAAAACTAGGGAAACTACGATTATATATAGAAACTAAAGTAGGTGAAATTTTTATGGGACTCCATAAAAGGTGAGGATATAAGAGTGAGGGATTGAATTGAGTAGGAAAGGCAACCCTACACGTGTTTCGACCTAACAGTCTTCTTCAGCAGGGTTTTTTAAAGGGGAAATATAGAATTTGCAGAGGAGAAGAAAGGAGAGTTTAGGAGTTCGGAAAATAATGTGAACTTGGATCCTCTACGTAGCAAAATCCACACCAGAACTAGCTATATAGCTATCTATTGGTCATATCGTATCATTCATTTACTAATCTCTGTTTTGGTTTTGTTACATATGTACATGTTTTAGTTATTATTGTATATTCATATATTTTAAACAAAAATCAAACCCTGCACGGTGTTATCATTATTTTTATCCCTTATGTATCATTAATTGCCAAACGCCCCTATCCCTGTCTTATAAGCTCCTACACCACTAACACCATATTTGGAATCACCTACAGTCACATGATTACCCTTACCATCACAATCATTCAAACTCACTACACCATTGAGTAAGTTAACCTGCAAATTTGCTTCACTTCACCAATACGAACGATGAACAATAAAGTGCGTAGTGTTGGAATGTCCCGCAAACAACAAGACCTTTGGTAGGATAACTTGACTAATAACATGTATGGTAGTTACATCCTTTCACTGTGTAATTGGTTATTTTCAGTAATTTCGTAATAATTTGTTTTCCTCTTGGTCTCACATTATTTTCCGAACTCCTATAAACTCTCCTTCATTCTCCTCTTCAAATTATATCTAACCCCCCTCTTCTCTTAAAAAACCCTGCTGAAGAAAACTGTTAGGTCGAAATGCATACCCCTGTACGCTATTCCTACTCAATTTCAATCTCTCGCTCTTATATCCTCGCCTTTGATCGTGTCCCATAAAAATTTCACCTATTTTAGTTTCTACGGCCGTGATTTAATCGTAGTTTTCCTAGTTTTTTACGTACATGTTCATCATAGGAGTTGGAGTAAAGAAATAAAGAACCGTTTTTTGAATTATACTGGTCCTCCCATTATTTAGGCTACAGGGCCGTAGGAAGCTCTTTTTGATTGGGGGGGGGGG